TTGGAAAACGACTTTACGAACCGGCGCATGGGCAGCACCGAAGACGATGATGGCGATGATGAAGCAGAAGACTATCAATTCAGTTGCATTCTCGACGGTCACGAATCTGAGATTAAGTGTCTCTCGTGGAGCCCCTCCGGGCAGTACCTGGCCACTTGTTCGCGCGATAAGAGCGTGTGGATATGGGAGGAACTGGAAGACGACAACTTTGAGACAGTAGCCGTGCTGCAAGAGCATGATGGAGACGTCAAGTGCGTGGCGTGGCATCCAGAAGAGGATCTTCTGGCCAGTGCAAGTTACGACGATACAGCCAGGCTTTATAGGGAAGACGCAGACGATTGGGTGCAGGTTTCCATGATAGATGGACACAGCCAGACGGTATGGTGGGCCGAGTTTGAGGGAAGTGGAATGAGTAAGAAGGATTGGAGAGCACAGCGAGAGGGGCTATCCGAAGAGCAGACACAGTACATTGAGGAACTTGAGCGCTCGGGGCCACGGCTGGCAACATGCTCAGATGACCGCACAGTGAGGATATGGAGGCGGAAGGCAAAGGAGAGGGATGATAACTCGAGCAGCAATACGGGTATACCAAGCATCATCCGTTCGGCAGCGATTGACGAAGATTGGTACCAGGAAGCCATACTTCCGCAAGTTCACGAACGCGCCATCTACTCGGTCTCATGGAGCCGCAGGACAGGCATGATTGTCAGTGCTGGCAGCGACGGCAAAGTTATCGTGTACAAAGAGCGCTGGAGACAGGATGCCTCGAATACCGCCAATGGCGATCAGATGGAGCTTGATGCGGCGCAAGCACAGTCAGCGACGGAATGGACAGTTGTTGCAGAGCTGTTTTCAGCACACGATGTGTTTGAGATCAACCACGTCGCCTGGGCGCGGAGGGCAGACAAGGGCAAGCAGTCTGAAGATGAGGAAGTGGTACTGAGTACTGGCGATGACGGGGAGGTTAGGGTCTGGACGCTGGACGAACCGGCTAGGGCAGGCACATGAGGCCCGGCCCATTACCGCAAGCAGTCAAGCCCTGTTGTCTCGTCTCACCACATCGTATGACCTCATGTGCTCTTTTTTACTCTCTTTACTTAAACCTGCGGGCCTCGTAGCGAATAGTACATGCAGTCTTGCGGTCTACGCGCCGCAAATTCAGGTCGTCGGCGGCTCCAGACGGCAGCGGGCTTGAGTTGATGGGTTCGATCGATTGCAAGTCGTCATGGCGTGCCTGTCGAGTCTCAGGCATTGCGGGCGCTGCTGGAGCGGCCATGTTGCCTACCTAGTAAGGGGACGGGGAGAATGCCAATCTTACAGAATGCGGGAATCAGAATGGGAAATGCCACACGTGGGCTGTCTTTGGCGATTGCTGGTATGCAGTGCTGTGGCGCAGGGGGCGGCGGGTGAACTTTCGTCATGCCAAGAGGGCGATCGCGATTAGGATCAGGGAAGCGGTGCGAAATTTATGGGAAGTTGCGAGGTGTAATCTACGCGTATCTGACGACGCTTATTTGCCCACTGTGTCGCGATTGTGCACACTCTTCTGGCCACTTTGCCTGCCTGTGTTGTTTATGTGCTCTGCCTACACCTGGTGAGCCCGGCCGCGTCGCCCTCTCAACACCTCCCTCCTTCTTCCTTGAAGCCGCCCCTTGGTAGCGGTCGCTGTAGCTCCAGCTTTCGGAATCCGACCCACGTCTTCCGCGTATCAGGACCGCGCGTTGTCCATTACATAGCTTCTCGGTCTCCTCCACCCCACACCTGCGGTCGCTTCTATCCCAACGCATTTTCGCCAAGAGCGCGTGCTCTGTAATAAGACAGACGTTGGGCCTGTAGTCGCCCTCCCCCTCTCGTTGCTTGGTTCACCGCCCGCACCCATCTGCCACCACCTATGCCACCAAAACGAAAGCGAACCTCGGCCGTAGACTCCGTCAAGCAAGACGCCATGGACCCCGTCCAGCCCTCTTCCCGCGATGCATCCGACGAGGGCACCGTAGACCCTGTGCTCAAGGCCGTCGCGTCCAAGAAGGAGCGCCAGGCCGACACCAATGGCACGGCCAAGCGAGTGCGTGTAGCAGACGGCCCCAATAACGGCGAGAACGACGAGGAGCGCGCCAGCAAGAAGAGCCGCCGCACATCATCATCATCGCCGGAGAGCGAGCATGGCGAGGCGGGCGAGGCCGAATCTATGCGCATGCCGCCCCCTCCAAAGGCCGGTCTGGTCGATCCCGTCGGTTACAAGACGAACCCTCCGCCCCAGGGACGGCCAGTCAGGATATACGCAGATGGTGTTTTTGACCTGTTCCACCTTGGTCACATGCGTGCACTCCAACAGGCCAAGACTGCCTTTCCAGATGTTCACCTGGTGGTCGGTGTCACGGGTAACAAGGAGACACATAAACGCAAGGGTCTGACGGTTTTGTCTGCAAGGGAGCGCGCCGAGAGCGTACGCCATTGCAAATGGGTTGATGAAGTCATTGAAGACTGCCCGTGGATCGTTACGGCCGAGTTCCTGTTGAAGCACAACATCGACTATGTTGCTCACGACGATCTGCCATACGGGGCGGACGAGGGCGATGACATCTACGGTCCTATCAAGGAGCGAGGCATGTTCCTCGTTACCCAAAGAACAGAGGGTCTCAGCACAACGGGCATCATTACCAAGTAAGAGTCTTGCTACCGCCAGTCAGGAGCTTGCTGATGTTTTTTTTCTCTTAGGATTGTACGAGATTACGACCAGTACATCGACCGCCAACTGAAGCGCGGAACGTCACGCAAGGAACTCAACGTATCGTGGCTGAAGAAGAATGAGCTCGATGTCAAGCGTACAATGGCGGAGCTGCGCGACAGCATCAAGGCCAACTGGACTACGACCGGCATAGAACTCAGCAGAGATTTCCGCCAATTCTGGCAAACAAGTAGACCAGGAAGCCCTGCTAGAACACCCACAAAGGAGCATTCGCAAGCCGAAGCTATGGATGTCTCAGGGTCCGCTCGATCGCCCTCGGCACTCTCACGACTCAGCCACCTGGATATTCCGCGTGCGAACAACCCGTCGAGAGAATCATCAGAGTTCACTGCTGGTTACAACCTTGGTCTAATTGGAGGTGTACGGTCATGGGTACGTGTTGATTTCTATATTTGGGAGAAACGAGTGAGATGCTGACATCAGACTGCAGATGGCACGTAGTCGTCGCAATTTGAACGACAGCCGGCCCCAAAGCCCCATTGACGACAGTTCAGACGAGCACGAGACCAAGAGCTCACATGAAACTCCACGTGGACGCTCCGGCAAGCAAACAAAGAGCGAGCCATCCGTGGAAACTGCTGCTTAGGAAGCGTTTACTTGCTACTTGTAATAGATGATTGCCGTCTACCTCCCTTTTTCATTTTCTCGTTATTACTACTTATCCTAATATGATGCTGTTCCCGCGCGACCAAACACGCCTTGTTCTTGTTGCATAAGACTAACAAATGAATGAGTGTCTAGCCGCGTCAAACAGATTGGACTTTTTCCACAGATTGATAGATGGCTTGTTAGTGCTCTCTTGGCTGCTAGGCAGACAAACGATTCACGTTCAACGCATCTGTTCGGCCTAATTTCTTTTTTTTCTCGCTTCGTTTGATGGTTGGTCATTGGAACTTGGGTCCAAAGACGAAACTGGAAACGGGCATCGTGTTCGGTAAATGGAGTCGAAGATACGAACAAAGAAGCCAGCGTCATTAGCGAATCACCAGCTAAAATGTGTATGTTCGTGCATACACTACACCATCTAATCAAGCCAGCACTGCTGTATTTACAAGACCTATACCTCGTTATATGACTCCAGTGCAATGACCTGTCGTTCAAGTATATCTTATCAGCACGTGGTACTAACATGATAAAGGTCATAATCCGAACAGACAGAGTCCATGCCACACTTCGCACACACCAATCTACCACCACCACCATCACACAGACCCCTGCTGGAGATCCAAACCTCCAAAGGGCCACAGACCAACGGAACCGCACAATGGAGAGAGACCCCGAACAAGCGACTCAACCCGAAAACCTTGTGCTTTGTTCGCTCATGGCAATCGCCAAGCAGCTCAAGAAGGGACGGGGAAGAGGGAAAGCGACAACATGGGGTTTGTGAATTGCTGGCTTGATTGCTCTTAATTGCTTGCACTCTGTGGTCGGGAAGATTGGCAAGTGAAAGGGTAAGTTTATTGTTGAAAGGAGAGAGAGAGAGAGTAATCAGAAGCATATATTGAGTTTTGGGCATGTGAACAACTCCCACAATACTCCATGACAGCAGCAATTCACAGCAGGGCCGCAAAAAGGACGTTTGGACGATAATCGTCATTCCTACTTGCCTCATTCGCACTTGGCTTTGTCTCATTCACTCGCCTTCACCACACATCAGTCGTTCATAATAAGAAGGAAGATTTTTTTTTACTGCGTAAAAGGGAAACAAAAAAAGAGGCGGAAAAGATGTGCACAGCGCTTTTCACCATCTCGCTGCACTGCGGCTGCCCGCCAACCCCCGTATACCCGTACGTCCGCTTCTGCGCAAAAGCCACGCAGCACCAGCCCGTCAGAGCGTGTGCAATGGGCAGTCGCATGAGTCAGACGGCGTGGGCGCGGGGACGCTGTGCGTGGTGCGTGGGCTGCCAAGGTGAAGCGTTGAGGGGGGAGAGGAGGGAGCGTGTGAGGAGGGGGGACAGAGAGCGGTGATAGGGCGAAGAGGGGGGGGGGTTCGGGAATGATGGAGTAAGATGGGGTAAGATGGGGGTAGGGGTAAGTAAAAGGAGGAAGGAGGAAGTTGGGAATTTTGGACCGGAAGGGTTGGAGGGGGCAGAGGATGGAAGCATGCATGCGGGGTGTTGTTGCAGGAAGGAGGGGAGGGAGAAGGGGGGGGGTTGGAGAGACACGTCATGCGAGAGCGTATGTACGCAGTATGTGTCATTTTGAGCGCGTTTTTTTTTTCATGTTGGGGTGAGGCAAAAAAGGAAAACAGTTACGCAGTAAATGGGACCCGGATCCAGTTGTTGTTGGTTGTGGGTTGATGTATTATGGGATTCGGTGGTCGGGATTGCCTATTTGGGGTATGCCCTGGCTCCGCATACACCGGACAACGCGACAGAGCCATGACAAGGCCAACGTCGGCGAAACGAGAGAGGGAGAAGCGGGAGGGAATCTTGATTGTTGGTTTGCGAGGCGGGTGCGTGGGAAGGGGATCATCGGAGTAATTAATAGCCATGGAAGCATCGTAGCCAGGCACCAGATGAACGGGGCGATTTAGCGGCGTCGGGGAATGGGCGGCTGAGATGGCTAGAGTGAGGCTAAAAGAGGGAATGCATCTCGTCCGAGCATTGCCATGACGGCGCGACGACGGCGTTTAGCCGCTTGGGCGTCGGAAGCGGGCTGCAGGCAGGATTACTTACTATTCCTGTATTGCATCTTTTTCTTTCTCGCTGTCTCTCTTTCTCTCCGCGTCTTTTGGTCTGTGACATGGATTTGAACGGGCTTTGTCTCAGTCTTCTTGGCCACGCCCCCGGCAGTCGATGGAATGTATCGGCAGCCGACCGGGGAGTAGGCTTCAGCATGGCGGGCTTTTCCCTGGGTCAGCATGCGACTGCTCGCCCTGGTTTTGGTTGCGAGCAAAAGTGAGGCGGTGGTGATGCGCTCTCCGGTGCGCACGGCCAATCAGCGGGTGCCGCACGCCGTCTGGGCTGGCTGGGATGCACATCTGCTGCATCTTCCTCCCTCTCGACATCGCCGCCTCCACTGTCGGACGAGCCCTTCGAGACACACGACTGGCGACTAGCGGTGAGCGTGTTGGGATGACATGCCTTGCAGCTTCACCCTCATCCTCGTCGTCCCCGCCCCGGCCTCGACGCGGAACGCCCTGAGCCGTCGGCGGTTCTATGGCGATCGCCTCGACGGTATTGCTTTGCACATTCGACATATGGTCAGGGCATAACCACACCCGCCGTCTGTGCCTAGCCTTTAAACAAGAACGCAAGGGCACGCACCCGACTCGTATCTCAGCCTCCAGCTTGCGCAACCGAGCCCATCCCTCCCCTCCCCCCAGCCAGACCATTGCTGTTTGAAGTACGCAGCGTCATTCAATCTCCGTCGTCACCAATACCGCCGCCGCCATCATCATTTACCACCACCATCACCATCTGGCAGCTCTCCCACGCCTGCCCACACAAACACACACACACACACATCGTTACCACTACCATCAGTAGTAACACCCCTTCTTCCTGTCTGTCTCTCTATTTTCGGCTTATTTTCCGCTTTGTCTCGCTCTCTCTTTCTCTCTCTCTTGCACTTTGCTTTTCCTGCAAAGTGCTTTCCGTCCGAAGCCGTCTCTCTACGCTTCCACTCTCTTCCTTGTTGTTCTGTCGCTCTTTGTCATTGTGGATGACCTTTTTGTCCCCCTTCACTATGTCAACGCCTGTCAAGCCCTAAACTTGTATACCAACAGTCTCCGTTGACCTAGTATCTCAAGCCGGCACATGCCAACAAGGTACGACTTTCATCCGAGCACCGTCCCGCCCTTCGCGGCGCCTTTGTGCTTGTCTGACTCGGAACGTCATCTCGCTCGTTCCAGCAGGCCCCTGTTGTGCCTTGGTCAAACAACCCGCGAACACGTTTCCATTCTGTGTCTTACAAACCGCGCTGTCTTGGATAGTTTGGTGGGCTAACGACTGGCAGTCAGCGCTTGCAGCAACCTTGTGCGCTTTTCTTGAGCGTTCGCTTCCCCTCAGGACTTACCACCACTGCTTTGCCCACTCACGCGCTCGTCACGACACCGCCGACCAGCGTCACCGTACTCCCAGCACACATCATCACATGAGAACCCGACCGTCATCAATGCAGAAGAACTTTGGTGGCGTACGCCGGCGCAAGGAAATGAGTTCTCACACGCCAAAGACGAATCCCAGCACCAACCCTTCCTTTGCGTCCGAGCAGCACTATGCGTCACGGTCTGGTGCAATGGACGTCGATGCCATCGAGGTGTCACCATCGCCATGGCACGGCTCCATCTCTGGCTCAGAAGGACAGACAGTCGAAGAGCGACAAATCACGGACCAGGGTGCAAGACAGGCTAGAGACAATGTTGCCTCAAAAGAGATAGTCTCTCCATCGCCATCACGACGTTGCTATCTGATCGTACACGAAGAGCTTGCTGAGATGCTCAAAGTTATGTTAAGCGAGCAGCCAGAGACACAACCATCTGTTGAAGAGTTAGCCCAGGACTTTCTGTATGCAACACTCACACCACCCGTCACAAAGCAATCATTGAGCGAGCTAGACATGCAAAGTATCATTACCAACATCAAATTACGGCATGACGTCAACTTTGACCGAGATCTGAGCTTCCGACCAAACCTGGATGGAGCAAAAGGGCAAAAGAAGGAACGAACTGCTGACAAGTACTGGACAGCGTTGATCGCTGAACTGGAATTGTACAAGCGTTTGTTCCAGGGAACACCACCAATACCCCAAGCCAAGCTGGAACGATTTGCTCGTGGAGCGCAACGGCGGATTCCAGTCTTGTTCCAGACGATTCGAGATGTCATCAAGAGCCTCGTTCCCGACAGTGATCATTCAAGAGTAGACGAGCATCTCGATGTCCCTCTGCTGATGCAAGAGATTGAGCGTGGAATGTGTGACTTTGTTAGGCTAGCGGAATGGATTGCCCGCCTCCTCAAGGAGCATTGTGCCCCGATGCGTGATGTGTGGGTTGACGAGATGGTAGCCCTCACAAGACAGGGCGCAGCTACACAAGACTCAAAGCAGATTGTTATTGGCCTGAAGACGCTCTTTGCTATCCTCGAGGCTATGAAACTTGTGAGTTTGACAGCCTAACCTCATATCAGTAAAGACTAACCGAAATGCAGGATGTCGCCAACCACCAGATCCGAAACCTGAGGACACTGCTTATCGAAGATACAGTCAACTTTGAAAAACACTACCATCTGGAAAGATTCATGAGCGGTAGAACCAGGATCAACATCGATGCTGCAAAAAGCTGGTTCACTGCTGCTGGGGAGGAATATGTATCGCAATGTTCACCACGACCAAGGGCTGGACCCTGCTTCGAGCTTGAAGTCTTTACCCGCGCAGTCACGGCCAAGTCGCTTGGCCGAGACAGACGAGGCAATCTTCCAGAAACCTTTTTCCTCGATAACGATCGACTACATGCATTCAGAGCTGAGGTTGATGATCTGGTCATGTTTGAAGTCTGCATGGAAATGTACGTTGCAATGGCGAAGCAATTCGGATACCAGGGACCTATCACTCTCACTCTCGGCCAACAACTCCGCACCGCCCTTTCTGCCATCATGGGCGAAGCCGCTGGGTACGGAGCCCATCAGTGGATGATGAACTCGGAAGCTCTTTCGTTGGAGATTCTGCGACACGCGTCTCGTCTTGCTGGACAGCCAGATACATGTGGTTTTGACCGCATGGCTGACGCCAACCTGAGCCTACGTATGCTGTTCGTCCGCCGAACCGCTCACCATGCTGCACGTCTCGAGGCTTTGCTCCTACCACAGATTCTTGCCAACGTCGACCGCCACAGGACCTCATCGCCGGTGGATCTTTTCACCAATCTTGTTCCCATTTCAACTTCTTTGCCTCCTCTACCAAATACGTCCCGGTCTGGCGTTTCTGATGCATTTTCGCTCGCTCACCTACAGCCAGAGACTGGCAAGTTGACAGACCTTGTTAACCGCATCACACACATTATCCTACTTCACTGGCGAATCTGGGCTCCTATCGCATACGTTCCGGAAGACGCGCCACACCACTCATCCGCAGAGGAGAATGCAACATCATCACCTGCTTGATGAACACGATCCCAATAATCGTGACTGAAATGTGCTTCAGGAGCGCCTGTTCCAATCAACACAAAGGCCCGCGACTATCTGGAACCAGGCCAAATTGCGCTTCGCTTCCAACCCCCCCAATCAACAAATTTTAATGGTTCCCATGTCGACATTTCCTTGTCATTTTTCCTTTTCATGTTTCGGAGTTATTTTACAGGGAAACAAGTCTGGATGAACAAGTACGGAAAGGCTTTATATACCCGGCGCAAATTGAAATGGGTCTATGCCAGCTTTGTATACCTTTTGTTCTGTTCGTTTGTTTGTTTACGATACCACTTTTTGTTTGGCCACTTTTTCTTTCTTTCTAATTTTCAGTGTTGTTATTCGGCGACAGCGGCCAGGCAACAATGATATACGTTTTTGTAATGCAAATTTGGGTGAGTGGAACGGGCAAAGAAGTGGGAGCGCGGGGGAGCCTTTTTGTATTTTTAAACTTGATGCGATATGGTTTGGATTTTTCTTTCCACTTTTTTTTGGCTGAGCGATGGTGTTGAGTTTGATTCGAAGCGGGTCGACTGGTTGGTTGGTTCGTTTGTTTGTTCTGTTGTTTTCTTTGTATAAATGGAACTACATTTCGGAGTTTTTTTGCGCTTGTGGAATGGTGGGGTTAACTTTTCTTCTTAGAAATCTCATCTCTTGGTGCAACCGTTTTTTGCAATATGCGTCTTTGCTGAATGCTATTCTTGAAGCATTACACATGGGTTGTTTTTTGGGGTGTCTGGTAAAAAGGAGTGCATGTGTCAGGAGTGGAGACGGGGGCGGATGTTAATTAAGAATAGGTTAAGTATGTGGACGACGGGGCTGAAAGTTGTTAGCCTTGGGCTCGCCAAGCCACAGCTCCCCCACAGCTGCTGCCTACAACCACCACGTCATTGTCCCCATTGGCGGCTACCTGGTAAGGCTGTACCGGCATTTCTTTAGTTACATACATTTGTTCCAACCCTTCCTTACGGACGTACATATAGCAGTGTGACCGGGCCCGAGACTCATTACCGCGTCACCGGTGACCATGGAATCGTCGGCTTAGCTGCAGCCTTTTGCACCGCATCGACACATGCCAGTGCCAGTTGTGTGCCCTTCACCCTGCGTGCAAACCACCAACGATTCATGGCTTGACGCCCTTTCACCTTGCACTCAGCGCAGATGCAGCTCTAGCGCAGTCAGATGCGAGGGCGCTTTTGCTCTCACACCGGCGGTGATGTCAAGCCCCATGCTGTTCCATCAGCAAAAAACGCATCGGACATAGGCGACATGCATGTCGCACAGCCACTTGTTAGCTTAGGCTGCAACCGCCCTTTTTCGTCTTCAGCCAGTTAATTGCGGGGTATCAAGACTAGGCTCATCGGGGCGAATGCACCTTATGCACGTTTTCAAGTCATGTCTTAGGAGATGGTCTTGGTGGTGGCGGCCAGTATTAATATTCTGCCTTGGTTGCACCCTTTGCTCACACGCCACTTCTGAAACCTGCACTTTCAAACAACTTCACTACTTTCTTTGAGGACTCACTAGTGAAGTAGGCGCTTCTTTGGGTTGAAAGGGCTTTGAAGGGTTTACCGACAGCGGTGGCGATACTTTACTTCCCTACTACGAACTGACAACCCACCTAGCCATCGACATGGAGGGCCTCAAGGGAATGCTGCCGCAGGGCTTTGCGGAAGCAGCGATTGGCATTCCTGGCCTTGGCGCTTTTGCTCAGGTTCTAATGGGCAAGCTTGGATTCGACGTTGGACAACTAATGTCTTTCTACCTGCTGCTATTTGGTGTTTATCAAGGAGCACTGTATCTCTACAACCAAATCTACTATTATCTGCTGTAAGTGTCACACCCCCGATGCTCTCTAACACTTCACATCTAAACACCATTCTCATCTAGGAATTACGGAACTTCAGCTATTCGAATCGATGATGATGACGCTCTATACGCTCAGTTCATCACCTGGATATCGGAACAGCGCATGACGCAGCTAAGTCGAGATCTCAAGGCCTCCTCCAGGAAGCCTCGGGCCCGTTCTGACGACTCTGACGATGAGTCGGATGACGAGCCAGACAACGAGGACGTCCTT